AAAATAAATATATATATATATATATATATTTAACAAACAGATTTATAAAAAAAAAAAGAAAATAATAATAAATAAATCAGCGAAAATGATAAATGCAGGACCATAAATGTTGAATGCAGTTTGGCCGAAAATTGCACATAAGGGTAGTATATTACTTTCGCTTCCCCAGGGGGTATGTCAAATGATGATTTGGGTTTGGGTTTATCCCTAGTTTATTTGGTGGCTAGGGGGTATGTAAAATAACCCCTAAATATAAAATATATAATAGTATTGGTATTTTAATTGTAGTTTTTGGAATTATTATCGAAACTTTAATCGGATTGGGAATCGGAATCTCATACATATTTCAATTCCGATCCAAATAATTTTGGAAAAAATCGGAAGTCGGAAGTTCAAAATTTAGATTGATAAAAATATTGCTCGAAAATCGGAAAATTTCATATCAGAATCGGCTGAAATTAAAAATTTTGTTCAAATTTCCACCCATAAACATAAAAATTTTGTTCAAATTTCCACCCATAAACACCGCAAGGCGAAAGCATGAACACATGAGTCATGACTAACCATCCGCTATTTCAGTTTAAAAATTGTAAAACATGTAACAAGTCTCATAAATCAAGAAGATTGTGCCTTGAATTCAAAACAACATTCGTAATTGATTGCATTCTTAGCTTTTAGCATTTAACTCTGTTATTTTTTATGGTAAAACGGCAAGAATGTAGATTTACGGGTCTGATGGTGTAGGATCTACACCCGTAAGACCTTCCAAGTCCAACTTTCTTGATCGTCGGAAAATCCATCGAGCGCCGGTCTTTTGCAGGAGAAAGATTAACTTGACGAACGGAAAAATAAATCTAAAGAGAGAGAGTTTGGAAGAGAGTATAAAGTGTTTTTATTCATATTAAATTGTCTCCGTAATCGGACTTATTACAAGACTTTTTATAGGAAGATCTCTCTAATTACTTCATTGTTTAACTCGCTTTAATTAGGTCGATATTTACATTGATTGCTTAATTATTAATACTAATTTACATTATTTATTTAGAAAAAGTATCTTCGAGTCTTCTGTTTTTAATGGCTCTCGTTCAGCTTGCCGCCTATTCTGTTGATTTGTCTATAGCATGTTCGAATGAGTTGAAGAGCTTGTTAACCGCGAGCTTCTAAAGAGACCTTATCTTTGACATGTATTGGGTTGGTGGACCCAATAAATCTCTTTCGACCCATACATTTTATCCTTATACTATTTTAATAAGCTCAATATGGGGAATTTGGCCCAAACTTGCCAAACCGATCCCATCACTTTCTCTATGCGAAGCGCCAAAAAGAATCACATGATGATTTCTTGCCCCAAAGAAGTTTGCCAGAAAGGAGGAAAAGATCGAAGATTAATTTTGTTTTTAGAGGAATGATCCTTTATGAGTTAAGGACTAAGGAGGAGGCTGATGTAATTAGGTTTTATTACTTGTAATTCAGAGTTCTTACTAATTTTATGTGGCATATTTTGATTGGTAAATTACCGTTTGAGAAGTACTACCCTCTCAAACCCTAGAAAACCCAAAACGATATCATAAAATGTATCTTTAGTTCGTCGCATTGGTTCGTCATATTAAGTGTTATGCGTACTGAAAAACAAGCTTTCAACGATCAATCTAAACTCCAAATGTCTTGAATTCTTTGAGCACACCAATACAAATTTCTTTCTCCTTGTGCTTGCACTAATCTCACTATAAAATTTATTATGTTCACACACACACACATATATATATTATATAACAAATCATCATCAATAACTGTATACAGTGTATAAAAAAATTGAAAATGGATCCCCAAAACAAATTACAGAAAATCCAAAACATACAGGAGATCAGATACATCTTCCTTTCAGTATTAGTCTTTCTTTTCTTTTTTTCCTTTTAAATCAAATCATGAAAGAAGAAAAGAATAAATATAAACATTTTGATTCTCAATCAAAGAATCACAAGAATAACAAAAAAAAAAAAAAAAAAAAAAAAAAAAGGAAAACAAGAAAAAAAGAGAAAAGAACCAACTTTCAAGAAACACGATTTCATTCTTCACTGGTATAATCGAAACTCCACCGGCAAAGCTCCTCAATCTTGGTCGCCACCTCAGCCATGGACGGGCGCTTATCGGGGTGCGATCCAGTGCAATCGACTCCAATCTGCAAAAGCCACACCATATCCTCCACCACATTCTGGTACCTCAGCAACTCAGCATCGAGCACCTCGGAGGTCCACGCATCCTTTACCACGGACCTCACCCAAAGCGGTAGATCGAAGCCATCTTCCCCCACCACGGGAGATTTCCCCGTCATTATTTCGAGCACCAACACTCCGAAGCTGTATACATCTGCCTTTTGGGACACCCTCCGAGGGTCGGTGACCTCGGGGGCCCGGTACCCCTCGACCCGGCTTGGGCCCGATGTGGGCCCGGGCCGGGCCAGGCCGGCCAGGAGGAAGTCTGAGACGCGTGGCTCGTATGTTTTGGTGAGGAGGATGTTGGACGATGTTATGTTGCCGTGGGAAATTGACGGGCCATGCAAGTGGAGGTAGGAGATTCCTTGGGTGGCACCGAGGGCGATCGAGGCTCTTGTTTCCCAATTTAATGTTCTTGTATCTCCCTTGTTTCCTACAATATTAAAAAAAAAAAGAAAAAAAAAATTGTATCAGAAGTCATGAAAAAACAAACTTGGGAAAAAAAAAAATACATAATAAGACTAAAATACCTTCCCACTAAAATTGAGTGCAGTAAGGATGAAATTGTGAAGAAGTTAGGTAATGGGTGGTTGGAAATTTGGAATTCTAAAGTAAACATATAATATAGAGCAAAAATAACTAGCATGAAGTTTGATATTGCAATAAAATCTAAACATTCAAACAAAAATTAAACGTTGGAGCAAATTAATCAAATTAAAAAAAAATAAAAAAAATCCTCACCATGCAACAATGCGTATAAGCTCCCTATCGGGAAGTAATCGTAAACGAGAAGCTTCTCGTGCCTATTGTAATAATAAGCTCTCAAAGGCACCAAATTCCGATGATCCATTCTCCCGATTTCGTCCATCTTTGCCCTAAACTCCATCTCCGCCATACTAACATCCCTCAGCCCCTTCACCACCACCACCACCAACCCCGACTCGAGTTCCGCCTTGTATGCCGTTCCGAAAGTGCCCTTGCCCAAAACCTCGGCCGATGCCCTCAAAAGATCCCCCAACGTAAACTCCCATTTCTTCTTTCCCAAGAAAACTAGCCCATTCGACTTACCACCACCGGTCACTTCTTCTCCTCCCTTTTGTTTCTCCTCTGCCGCTGCAATGCCGCCCCCACCACTCGTCTCCACCGTTTTCTCTCGGTGAGTAGTACATGGAAGTCCGGTTATCTCCTGAGCCTCTTCGCCTTCACCAAACACTCCACACAAACAGTATATAATAAGCATTAAGATCAAGAAAAATCCGAGAACGGAGCAGATTACGATTCCGGCGATTGCCCCGCCGGAGATTTTTCTTCCGTCGGCGGCCGGGGTTTCTTCAACGGGGCACGAATCCAATGGTACACCACAGAGTGAATTTCCGGCGAACGAGTTTTTCGGTTTTCCGGCGAGGCCTTTGGGGATTTGGCCGGTGAGATTATTGTTCGATACATCGAACTGAGATAAACCGGGCTGGTTTAGGTCCGGAACCGGGCCCGAGAAATGATTATCCTGCAAGTAAAGCGTCCGCAAACGGGTCAAATGGTTGAACGAAGGTGAAATCGGGCCCGAGAAATTGTTCGCCGATAAATCGAGGCTGACGAGGGCGGTGAGTGAGAATAAAGAATCGGGGATTCCTCCGCTGAAGAAATTGTTCTGTAGAGAGAGAGTGTGGGGGGAAGTGAGGGAGGAGAGTTGGCGGCCGGAGATACTCTTTCCGGGAAGGCGGAGCTCGACAACGGCGGAGCCTTCCGGCGAACACGTGACGCCGAACCATGAGCATGGGGTGGGGCTCGAGACGTTCCAGAGGAGGACACGTCCGCCAATGGCGGAACGGAAGGATAGAAGGGCGGATCGATCGGAGGAGATATCCGGTGCGGCGGAGGGGAGGCGGAGGAGGAGAGCGGCGGCCGTTAAGAGGAGGAGGTGGTGGAAATTCAACCACCCCATTATCAAGAATGAGAAAACAACAAACAAAGATTACCACGAGCGATAATATATTTTCTCTTTCCTGAGGAATTTTGGGGGGAAGTCGTTCTTTTTCTTTTTTTGCTCTGTTTCTTGTCTGAGTCTTGCACTGTCATGTCTAGAGAGAGAGAGAGAGAGAGAGAGAGAGAGAGAAGAATTCTGTGTAACAGGATTTGGTCGTTTGTCGTATTTTAAAACTAGTAAATTACAACTAGTCCTGAGGTATGATGAAATTACGTAAAACCCCATTTTGTTTGGATAATTACATATACTTCACCTACTATGAATTTTCTTACATATCCATCCTTACGGTGTCAATTTCAACATAATCATCTAGATTCAGTGGAATATTATCTAGTTTGTACTCGTTTTGTGCAAAAATACAGTTTCTGATGCACCACAATCTGATATATACAGCCAAAAAACATATCTTATGTTCATCTTGTTTCAAAATGTGGAGCTTGAATGAGATAAAACGGGTACAAAATTGACAATATTTCATATAATATAGAAGATTTTACTAAATTTGAATCCGGAAAGGTGGACGCATAAGAAGATTTATAGTTAAGGGAGGGGTTTTTGGCACTTTGCACCCTTGAATTACACCCTTTTGGCATTTTGCACCCTTAAATTGCAAAATTGGCAGATTGCACCCTTTAAACATAAATTGTTTGGCACTTTGCACCCAAGTCACTTTTGGCTTAGAAAACTTACCTGCAACTTGTTGGAAACCTGGAAAAATGGATAAATTCATAATTTTCTTATTATTTATCATCTTCCCCCAATTGTTAATCACCCTTCCAACATTACTATCTTTCATCCCTTTAATCAAAAGTCATAAAATCTTTTTAGCCATTTCTTTCAGTTTAAATCAGTATAAACACTAAACAATAACAGTAAATCAACATTTCTTTTCTTTTGAGTTTGAAAAATAATGTAACTGGAAATTTTAGGTCGAACCCTCAATTTTTTCTTTTTTGAATTGTTAAATGACAAAATAAGGCTACTTGAAGGTTTATTTGGTGGCAGATAGGTTGTGCCTATTAATTTCATGATGGGAGGAATTTTGTGCTCCCATTGAATAGTCTGAATCTGAAAAATGATTAAAAAAATAGCATTACGTTGGAATAAAACTTGATCTTTCAAAGGTGTGTGTGTTATCGGACTCTTGTCTATATATTCCGGCCATTCTTGAGTTTTAGTTCAGAAATTACATATTAGGGTAAGAAGAATTTATGATTTTTTGATTAAAAGGACGAAAGATAAAAATGGTGGAACGATGATTAAGAATTGGGGGAAGATGGATAGATAATTAGAGAATTACAAATTTGTCCATCTTCCAGGTTTTCAGCAAGTTGCAGGTAATTTTTCTAAGCAAAAAGTGATTTGGGGTGCGAAGTGCCAAACAATTTATGTTTGAAGGGTGTAATCTGCCAAATTTGCAATTTAAGGGTGCAAAGTGCCAAAATGGTGTAATTCAAGGGTGCAAAATGTCAAAAACCCGTGAAGAGGTGGTTGTAATTACCCACACAAGAGGGGTTTTTTCACAATTTGACCATACATCAGGGGGTGATTGTAGGTTACCCTTAAAACTAAGTAATCATGCCCGTATGTTGCACGGGACGCATTCAACAAAAAGGAAAAAAAAAAGTAATTGTTTAAATAAATGATAGTACAAATTGTAATAAAACAATTATCAAATAATATTGAAATATACCCGTGAAATTCAAAATACACTACTATTATCTTATTTTATTGTAACACATATTTTCCATCCTCCAATCGGTGTGTGTGTGTGTCTATATATATATATATATATATATATATATATATATATATTCTCAACCAAAAGCTTAAGCTGGTATTGAAATGTATCATGTAATATTAATATCTTCAATACGCCCTCTCAAGTGGAGGCGAATTACATTTGAAGCCTTGCACTTGAATTATTTGAAATGGGTGGCTGTGCGATTCGAACTCATGACCTTTCATTTATATATATATGCCGTCTGAGGTGGGTTGAGCCGGTCAAACATTGGAGACGAGTCGATTTTTTATGGCAATAATCCATAGAAAATTCGTTTTTTTTTTTAAATAAAATAAAGTTGCGGTTTTAATAAAAAAAAATGAGTTTATGCTTTATTTTATGTTTTAATGTTAATTTTTATTTTTAAAGGACCTAATAAAATATGCTTGCAACGCACAAGTATAATTTTGGATTAACAACATTTTCGTTTTATTTTTATTTTGTAAGGAGTTTTATTATATTATGATCTTATTATTATTGAAATTTTATTACCTGATTATGATCTATAAATGATTGGCTTATATTATATACCCCCTAAGTGGCTACTAAACTAGGGATAAATTCAAGCCGGATTCTGCCGTTGACATACACCGCAGGAGAGGCGATAATACCTACCGTTACACGCAATTTTGGCCAAATTACATTCAGTATTTCTAGTCCTGTATTTATCATTTTGCTGATTTATTTATTTATTTATTTATTATTATTATTATTATTATTATTATTATTATTATTATTATTATTATTATTATTATTATTATTATTATTATTATTATTATTATTATTATTATTATTATTATTATTATTATTATTATTATTATTATTATTATTATTATTATTATTATTATTATTATTATTATTATTATTATTATTATTATTATTATTATTATTATTATTATTATTATTATTATTATTATTATTATTATTATTATTATTATTATTATTATTATTATTATTATTATTATTATTATTATTATTATTATTATTATTTTATAAAACTTGTTTTTTTAATTTATATATTTTTCTATTAATTTTTTTATTTAAATTTTTTATTTATTTATTTGTTTTAATTTTTTATTTTGTAAAATCAATATGTTTACTGTACTGAAAATAACTACATGTAACTGTAGTAAACTATAGTTATTCGTAGTTATGTTCTTTTTTTTTTTACCCATATTTTTAGTCGATTAATTATGTATACACACGAATACTAGTTTATACAAAAGAAATTCATAAACCCCAACAAAAAATTACAAATTTAAATATTATATTATAAATCACCTCAGAACCAATAAAATACACATCGAAAATACACAAATATATGCATATGTAACTACATGTAACTGTAGTAAACTATACTCATTCGTAGTTATCTTCTTTTGTTTAACCATATTTTTAATCGATCAATGATTTACACACACGAATACTGGCTTATACAAAATAAATTCATAAACCCGAACAACAAAAATTTAAAAATTTCAATATTTATATTATAAATCACCTAAGAACCTATAAAATACAAATCGAAAATACACAAATATATGCATATGTAACTACATGTTACTAGTAATGTATAGTAGTGCATAGTAATGTACAGTAATGTATACAAGATGTTGAACACTGTAATCTGAAGCAGATGTAACTTCAACAAAAAAAATTCACACCTTCAAGAAGAGGATAATGGATTTCATTAAGCTGCAATAGCAAAATCAAAACAAAAAAAAAAATTGTTTTAGTGCAAATCACCAAAAAATGAAGAAACATCAAAACACTCAAAACAAAAAATACTACGAGATCGAGAGATAGAGAGAGAGAGAGGTCATAGATGCGAAATGCTACGAATTTTAGACCAACCCGCCAATGACTCCTTACCCCAAACGCCTCCTACCAAACCCTAGCCATCACTAACCACTCAAGGTTCCGCGCTCACAAATGAAAACAAAATATAGAATAAATTTGAAAATAAAAAAATGAATAAAATTACCATCAAAATATAGATCTCGACTAGAGAATTCCAACAGTGGGTAGCCCGTCAAATTCCGACTGCCGGAACACAAATTACACCTCCGGCAAGACCTACAATCGTCGAAATACGCACGGACTACAAAACAATTGCAGAATAGATTGAGTGTACCAAACTGAATGAAATCACCACCAAAAGAAAGAGCTCAACGAGATGAATCCAACGGTAGTTAAAACATAAGAATCCGACCATCAGAGAGAGAGTTATGACTCCGGGAAGCAACTTCGCCAGTTGGAGATCTATGAGGGCGGGATTTGAATTTGAGATTTGAGAGAGAAAGAGAGAGACGATGGTAAGTGGCTAGGGTTTAAAACTGATTTTAAAAGGGCATTTTAGGTACTTTAGGGTGGTCGAGGGGGCTATGTCAAATTATTATCGAAATGGAGGGGGTTTGCACTAGTATGTAATCCGCATGGTAGTTAGTCCTATGTAATTTCGAAATGAAGGGGTCTCCAAAATAATCCCATAAGTGGGGCATATGGATAAAATCATGATTGATAATATTTATATATATAATTTTTATATTTACATATAATATATAAAATTATATTACATTAAATTTCAAAAAAAGTTGATTTATTTATGATTTATCAACAATTAATCACGGCCGCACAGATTAATCGTGAGGCGGTACCTTGAGGACTCGGGTCCGATTCCCGCCCTTTACAACCTTGATTTTTATTTTTAGGACAAATTACGAATGACCTCTAAGACAAATTTTAATTACGAAAAAAACCGCTCATGTGTGTATAATTAGGAGTACTCTTGAGATATTCTCCGTCTAACAATTTTACCCTCATAGAGTTAACAATAACGGAACCAAGTAGATTCCATGGAATATTTACTTTTTAATGACAGAATACCCTTAGAACTCCAATCGTAAGGTTTGAAAAACAATTGTAATTTTTTTTAAACTTTTTTTGTTTACTGTTAACTAGCCGTTTTCTTGCCCTTATAAAGGGTTACGTTTAAGGTTTTATATTGCATGAGGGGCAAATGCAGGAAAATCAAAAACTTGAATTTATGAAACTTTTTTTTCTATTTCATTTAATTATTTTAACACATAAGTATTTTAGACAATCACTACATTCTTTTAGATTTTTGCAACTCGTTAATTTCAGGGGTGATCGTAACTATGCAAACATAGTAGAT